TAATAATAATAATAATAATAATAATAATAATAATAATAATAATAATATACAATAATGCTAATAATAATAAATAATACACAATATAATGTAATAAGGTGTAAATATTTCTTTGATGAGATCTTCATTAAAACTTAATTGTCTTTTTATACAGTTGTATATTAATAAGTATAATATATTAACGTAGCTGTAAATATTAAATAGTTTTATATATATATATATATATTTATATATATATGCTTATCAATATATCTTCACAAAGTATATATATATATATATACACATATATGTGTAATATAATGTATTATATATATGTTAAATATATTATAAAATAATTATATTATTATTATATATTAAGTAATTAATTATTTAAATATTTAATATTACCTCTAGATAAGACTGAAGGGCCTTAGAGAGAAATTGCACGGGAAAGTGTTAAGAAAACATTTTTAATAAAATGTTTTATTATACACACTTTTTAATAAATTAATTTATAATAAAATGACATTAAATAATATACTTTAAAATGCTTTTCAAGTGAATAAATATAAATACCCTAGTGGAGCTGCCTGTACACCCCAAGGCTGCAGCCAGGTGTATGGCAGCTTGTTTTATTCTGTCTTGTGCTGCCTGTCTGATTAAAAACAATTTAATTTAATTTAATTTAATTAATTTAAATTTATTTTTCAAAATAAAATGCATCTAATTAATAGACACAAGGTATAAGGATACAGCTTGAGCGGCTGGCTGCCCAGCCGCCAGCTGCTGCTGCTGCTGCTGCTGCTGCCGCTGCAGCAGCAGCAGGAACTTAAAAACAGCAAAACGTTTTTCTGTTTTGTTTGAATTTTGTTTTTTCTAAATATAATACGGCTCCTGCTGCTAATTCTTCTCTCCGTGCTGTAGATGAGCCGCAGCTAAAGGAGACACACAAAAACAAAGAGGAGCAGCAAGGCAGGCTGCATGCAACCCCTGCGCATCCCTGTGTACAGCAGCAGCAGCAGCAACAGCGGCAGCAGCAGCGGCAGCAGCGGGAACAGCAGCAGCAGCGGCAGCCGCAGCAGCAGCAGCGGCTATAGCAGGAGCAGCAGCAGCAACAGCAGCAGCAGCAGCAGCGACAGAGACAGAGAAAGGCTGCCTTACTCTCCTTGAGGCTGCAGCTGATGAATGCCCCCAATGGAATATATAATCTGCATGCAATGTAGAGAAACGCGCTGCTGCTGCTGCTGCTGCTGCATCTCCTGGGAGGTAGCTGCTGCTGCTAGTGCTGCTTCTAGGGGACAGCTGTGCTGTGCGGTAGCTGCTGCAGCTGCAGAAGTGAGTTGCTGCTGCTGCTGCTGCTGCACACAGGAGACAGTTGCTTCAACTGCTGGTGCGGATCAGCAGGCGCTGCAGCTGCTGTCGTTGAGGCGTGCTGCAGCAGCAGCAGCTGCTGTTGAAGTGACGATTGGCGGAGCTGCTGCTGTGTAGAGGCAGCTGCTGCTCTTCATTGATAGCTGCTGCTGTTTAGAGACAGCGCAGCAGCAGCAGGTTTTATTGTTTGCTTACTGCAAGAGAAGGAAATGAAGGCGGTAGGAGACAGTCTCCTTGGAGTAGACAAAGAGAACACAGATCCCGCAGCAGCAGCAGATTGCTGCAGGCTACCCCACAAGCAGCAGCAAAGGCAGCAGCAGCAACGCAAGCCGCAGCAACATAAGCAGCAGCAGCAGCAGCAGCACAAACAGCAGCAACATGGGGTAAGCAAAACATCAGGGGGCCCCCTGCAGCTCGTCAGCAGACTGCAGAAGTCCATCAGGAGCATCTTCGCACCTAAAGCAAAGCAGCAGCAGCAGCAGCAGCAACAGCAGCAGCAGCGACGGGAGCAGCAGCAGCGGCAGCAGCAGCAGGAAAGGGACGGGCATCAACAGCAGCACCACCAGAGAAGGCCTCATGGAGCCTCTGCAACAGCAGCAGCAGGTGCTGCAGCAGCAGCAACACCAGCTGCTGCAGCAGCAGCTGCTGCTGCTGCAGAAGAAGAGGAGGAGTTGAGCCTCCCAGACCTGCATGCTAGCCTGTCTCCTCCTCTGGCGGATGATGACGGCGAAGCAGCAGCAGCAGCAGCAGCAGCAACACCGTCTCCAGCAGGAGAAGGTGCAGCCGACGCCTCCCCAACAGCAGCAGCAGCAGCAGCAGCAGGTGGAGCATCATTTGAGATGCTGCTGGGGTCGAGGCCCGTTGTGCATGCATGCAGCAGCAGCAGCTTCGGGTCTCCTTCCTCTGTCAGCCCCCACTACTATAAAGGGACTCCTCCTGCATTAATAGCAGGCGAGGAGACAGCAGCAGCAGCAGCAACAGCAGCAGCAACAGCAGCAGAGAGTAGGGGAAGGGCCGCCTCCCAGTTGCTGCTGTCGCAACGCAGCAGCAGCAAACACAGCAGCAGGCTCCCTCTGTCGCTGTCGCAGCCGGCAGCAGCAGCAACAGCAGCAGCAACAGCAGCAGCAGCAGCAACGGCAGCAGAAAGGCAAAGCCGTTACTCCACGCGGCGCATGAGTTGCTGCTCCTACTGTCCTCTCCCCTCTGCTGCTGCTGCTGCTGCTGGGGGACTCTCGCAGCAGCAGCAGCAGCAGCAGCAACGCCCTTCGCCGCTATCCCTGCGAATGTTCAGTCAGCCAGAGCCCTCAGCAGCAGCAACAGCAGCAGCAGCAGCAGCTTGTCCCTTCAGGACCCGCCCCCTCCCCCGCAGGAGCAGCACGCAGCTGGAGGCTAAAGGGTTGAGGCTGCAGCAGCAGCAACAGCAGTTGCTGCTGCTGCATGCAGACGAGTTGTCTGCTTGGGGGCCTTCTCCTAGAGGGTCTTGGTCTCAGTCGTCCGTGCTGCCTTCTCCCGTTGCAGCAGCAGCAGCAACAGCAACAGCAGCAACAGCAGCAGCAGCAGCAACAGCAGCAGCAGGAGAGCGACCCCGCATGCGGCGGGCCTCCACGAGTCCTTTGGGTTTGCTGCAGTGGCGCAGCACTCCAGTGTATGTGCCTGCGGTGTCTGCTGCTGCTGCTGCACCAACAGCAGCAGCAGCAGCAGCAACTGCAGCAGCAGCAGCAGCAGCAGCAGAAGCCGATGGGCTTAAACGCAGGCGAGTTGAGCGCATGCATTCTCCTTTAGCTGTCTCTTCACTTGCAAATCGAGCTGAGCATACACCTGAAGCTGCAGCACTATTTGTAACTCCGCAGTCTTCTCCGGTGCGTCCTCAGCAGGAAACTGCTGCTGCTGCTGCTACTGCTGCTGTTGCAGCAAGTGCAACTCCAACAGCAGCAGCTGCTGCTGCAGCAACACCAGCAGCAGCAGAAGCAGCAAATCCTCAAGGCACGCCCACAGACGACGAAATGCCTTGCGTTGTCTGGGACCCTCCAGATATTAGCAGCAGCAGCAGCAGCAACAGCAGCAGTAGCAGCAGCAGCAGCAGTGCGCTGCCGCTGGCACCTGCTTTACTGTCTCCTGTTGGAGTGCCGCTGCAGCAGCAGAGACAGCAGCACCGCGCTTCTTCTGTTGGTCTCTCTTTCCCTCTCTCCTGCCCCCAGAATTTGCTGCTGCTGCCGCGGAAGCCATCTCAGCAGCAGCAGCAGCAGCAGCAGCAGCAGCAGCAAGATGCCCCTCCGCCCAAGGCTGAGGGACAGGCAAGCGCCGAATGTACACAAGAGTCTCCCGCTTGCAGCAGCAACGACAGCAGCAGCTGCAGCAGCAGCAACAGCAGCAGCAACAGCAGCAACAGCTGCAGCAGCAACAGCAGCAGCAACAGCAGCAACAGCTGCAGCAGCAACAGCAACAGCAGCACCAGCGCCAGCTCATCGCAGCAGACGGCTATCCAGGAGGCCGCAGCTGCAGCAAGGGAGACAAAAAGTGCGGAGTCTCTGGATGCAGCAGCAACAGCGGCAGCAACAGCAGCAGCAACAGCTGCAGCAGCAACAGCTGCAACAACAACAGCTGCAGGAACAACAGCTGCAGCAGCAACAGTTGCAGCAGCAACAGACGCACCAACTGTTGGTGGGGATGCCCTGGGCACCCCGGATAGGGCAGTGGGGGCAGCAGCAGCAGCAGCAGCTGCTGCTGCTGCTGCTGCTGCTGCTTCCCCGTCGTCTGGAGCAAACCGCAAGCGCCGCAGAGACACTGAGAATTCGGGTGTATGTGCAGCGGCAGCAGCAGCAGCTGCTGCTGCGGCGTCTCCTGAGGGAGGAGCAGCAGGAGGATTGAGCAGCAGCAGCTACAGCGAGCTGTCTCCTGCAAAGAGACAGCGGCGCCGCAGCTATGGGGGCAATACTTTTGCTGCTGCTGCTGCTAGACGGCTAATATGCTGGACCAATGAAGAGACAGACGAATTTCTATCATCGCTCGAGCTTCCAGCATTGTCAGTAGAGGAGACAAAGGCCCTCAGGCAGCAGCAGCTGCTGCAGCAGCAGCTGCTGCAGCAGCAGCGGGAAAAGGAGCGCAAAGAAAAAGAAGAAAGAGAGAGATTGCTGCAGCAGCAAGAAGAAGAGAGACGCAGGAAGCTAAAAGAAGCAGAGGAGTTGAGGCGTAAGCAGCAAGAGGAACAAGAAAGGAAGCAGCAGCAGCTGCTGCTACAGCAACAGCAGCAGCAGCAGCAGCTACAGCAGCAGCAGGAACAGCAGAAGAAGCAACAACTACAACAGCAACAAACGCAAGAGAACAAGAATCAAGAAAACCAGCAGCAACAGCAAGACAAGCTGCAGCCGCAGCAACAGCAACAGCAGCAACAGCAACAGCAGCAGCAACAAGAGCAGCAGCAGCAGCAACAGCAGCAGAAGCAGCAGCAGCCACTTCTCTTTGGACTCTCCTCACAGTCGAAAGGTTTTACGCCTTCTGCTGCAGCAGCCTCGGCTGCTGCTCCGTCTGCAGCAGCAACAGCAGCAGCCCCAGCGGGGGCAGCAGCATCTGCTGCAGCAAAGCCGCTCTTTTCTCTACCTGGAGCTGCTGCTGCTACTCCTGCTGCTGCTACTCCCGCTGCTGCTAACCCTGCTGCTGCTAGCCCTGCTGCTACTCCTGCTGCTGCTAACCCTGCTGCTGCTGCTGCACCAACAGCAGCAAACCCAGCAAGAGGGAACAGACCGATGTTGCGTATTGTGCGCGACAAGAACACGCAGAAGCAGCAGCAGCAGCAGCAACAGCAGCAGCAGCAGCAACAGCAGCAGCAGCAGCAGCCACTGTTCCAGCCGTTTGCACAGCAGA